CGGACCGGGGTTTGAACCAGGAACCTTCTCGCTGAGAGGCAGCAGCTCTACACAGGAGAGTGAGAAATTTAAAAAAGGGCAAGAAATGGGGGTTAAGTGATGACAGGGTTACGTCTGCTATCTTCCAGCTGAGACCAAACATTTCATAATGTTTGCAGCCTCAACGAAACACCTGAAAGAACCAAAGGAACGAGATGACAGAGGTGTCACTGCACACATTTATCTGAGGGATGTTGGATACTGATGATACATAGTTGCTAAAATGGAATACATATATATATATATGTGTGTATTTTATAGCATGATGCAAAGATAAATTTGCTGTGTAGGTAGGTGTATCTGCACTTGTGCACAGTGTTAGTTTAGAATCTCATGGGGAAAACTGTGTATGTTTCTTGAGGAAGCTCCTCCTCTTGTGCTGAAACTGATCCTGAGCAGCTAATCCCAGTTCAGACTTAAAGCTGCGAGCTCTGCTGCTGCTGTCGAGAGCTGGTTTCCTGAACACATTCCTTGCCCCCTGGCTGTGTTGGTGTCCCAGACTGAGGGCTGTGAAGTTTAATGTCTCTCCTTGACCATGGATATTGTTGCTGTTTTCTTGGGTTTTCTCCATGAATAGATAGAAAGCACTCTCTGACGTGTTGTTTTAAGCGTTGGATCGGTTGCCAAGTTTGCTCCATTGTTCTATATTCTTATTTTTCTTGCTGTTTTGTGACTCTGGTACATTTCATCTTATGCTGTAAACTTTTGGGCAACAAAATCTAAAATCCTGAGAAAACCCACCCCACCCCCTTGGAATTTGGAACTCCTTCATGTTCATATTTTATAAAATGATCAGATTTTTGTATGTTACCTAATATATATATAAAAGCTAAATTTGATTTTCAGTGCCCCATCAGAGCACCAAGCTGACACTACAAAACAAAGCTATTACCAAGCAGAGGAGGTATATAACCTTATCCTAATCAAGGCATGCCACTCAACAAGCTTGTAACTAAAAATGTTGAGCTAATAATTTTGCTAAATCACACCACTGTCAGTTTTGCATTAATATGTTGTTCTGGCAGAAATATTGATATATTCCTGTTGAATTACCTCTTTTACATATCACATGTTGCATTTGGCTGCTCCCTTCTTCAGGGGTTGCCACAGTGAGCAACTTGCATGAAAGATTTGACAATTGTTTTTCACCAGATGCCCTTTCTGACGCAACCTAGGCTTGAACACGCAACCTCAGAGATTCAGAGTTTCTTTATTTGTCATTCGCACCCCATGCAGTACATGTGGTGGAACAAAATTATGTACACAGGGTCCCAGTTCCATCCAACAACAAAATGTAAAAGCAAAACAGTAATAAGATCTAAGATATGAACTAAGTAAAACATCAGCTAAATACACGTTAAGCACTAATAGCATAAAACAATAAATACAATACACTGAACAGCAGCACGAACATGAGTCTGTGTGAGCAGATGAGCACGAATGTACACAGCAACATGAAACAGATCAGCAGCAACATGAAGTGATTACCAGTGATTACAGGATTACAACACTACAGCACTGATCACCAAGTCATCGCAGCACCGCATTGTGAATGTTTTTTTTTTTTACAGTATTTATTCATTATTACATTTTTTTGTATGTTGTCTCAGATGGTCATTTGTTTGCTTTAAACTGTCTCCCCACTGGTAGGCCTCAGCCGCATATTGGATCTCTGCACCATTTAAGTCTTTTTGGAAACATTTTTATAGTGTTTTTTAAATTTATTAATATTTGTATTTTTGGAACGCCGTCCCCTGCTCCTTTTTGTAGAAAAACTTTGGTATCGGTAAACTCTCAACAACCTAGCTCCATCTTATATTACAGATCTCATTGTTCCATATTTTCCTAACAGACCATTTTGCTCTCAGACTGCAGGTTTACTTGTGGTTCCTAGAGTTTCCAAAAGAAGAATGGGAGGAAGATCTCTCAGTTATCAGGCTCCTCTCTTGTGGAAACAACTTCCAGTTTCTGTCCGTATAGGCTGACACATTGTCCAGTTTTAAAACTAGGCTCATTTCCTTTTTGATAAATCCTATAGTTGGGGTCGGCTTGGGTTTCCTGAGCTATCCCGTAGTTATGCTGCTATAGGCTTAGACTACTGGAGAACAAATTGACCTCATTTCATCAAATGAATAGTTACAAATGAATATAAATGAATAGTTTGCATTTGTAATTGTTTCTGTCTTAACATGTTTTTTTTATTTTTATTTATCTTTCCTCCTAGAGAGGACCTGCTCGCCTGCATTCTGGACCTGCCGTTGTTTGTCTGTTTCTCCTTCCTGTTCCTCTCAAACCCAGCCGGTTGAAGCAGATGGCCGCTTGTCCTGAGCCTGGATCTTCTGGGGGTATCTTCCTATTATGAGGGAGTTTTTCCTTTCCACTGTAGCTGTGCTAGCGCAGGTGGGGAGACTGCGACGAAATGAAGACTCAACACGTCTGCTGGCTTCCTTCCTTCCTTAGCTAGATAACTTTTACTAATTGGCATTTATAAAATATGTGAATGTTTCTGTACAGTGCCCTGAGATGACTTCTGTTGTGACTTGGTGCTATATACTGAATTGAATCGAACTGAACGTGCAACCCCTGAGCTGCCACATAATTTATATTTTGAAAACTGGCAAATACAACCCTCCCCGCCTCCCTTTTTACAGCCACCCTCCAGTCCTTCTTAATATGTTTCTGCTGCACTGAAATGTTGCAGATCTTACAGTTAATCCTATTTTTCTCTTCAGATTGTGTGCAAGCGTTTGTGCCATCACGATCAAATAAATGCTGTGAAACTCTAACATAGACTCGTCCACATGAGTGTAGAAGAAAAGTCAGTGCACACTATGTGCAACGACTGCCTGTTTCTACAGGTCTGCAGGTGTTTCTGGATGTATGAGCCGTCAGGACAAGGGTTGCTCAGCAGGTGTGAGTATTAGAAAAACATTTGCTGTGAATTCTAAGAAAGGCAACATGCCTGACTGAGGACATACTGATTAGAAAACACGCCCAGATCAGGGACAGTGTCTGTCACCATCAGCCATTAACACAGATTCATCTAATCACAGTTTCTATGGCACAAATCTTTGACGTGATTCTTATAAGATTCCTTATATTTATCTTACGAATTCTTGCACGACTGCAGACAAAAAAAAATTATCTTGATCTCTTTTCTGTTACTTGATAAACTGTCACGTGTCAGTATGATTCTCATCTAATGCTCAGCTTTAAATTATTATATATTAACAATACTGGCCATAGGAATCGCTCATTTAAAATGTGTCAAACCTATAGCTTCAGTTGATTAAAGCACTCAGTGTGACTCCATGAGAGCACAAAAACAGGTTTTCTCACAAATCTAAAGTTATAATGAACTTCCTTCTGTTATCTTTCCTCAAGGCAAGGCATTTAAAGTAAAGACATTAAAAATAAGGTAACAAAAACACCTCCTTGTCTCCATGTGGATGCCTCCGAAAGCATGGAATAACCTCTTGTTCTCTGAAGGGATTGAAGATTATAGGACATGAGCCTATAATTTATTAAATTATTACATGTAGGAATTGAGCAACCATATAGTTCTGATGCCAGGCTAGTTGTAAAATGTTATGTCTGTATGAGAAAAGGCAGAACACTGGGAAAACTTTTCTCACGTGAAACGGCAGGTATGTGTTTGAGCAGCACTACTTCACATTTACGTCGGCTGTAACATTTTCCACTATAAATGTTGTTATTATTAAAAAAAGGAAAGTTTGCACATGTCATCTGTGCATCAGCTTCTTTGATGATTTTTATTCCTGAAGATGTTTACTTTCACAGTGAGAAACACTGAGAGTATTTGGTATGAAATGTGCCTTCACGTGCACGTACCTGCACATCTGATCTGTCATTTCCAGGATGCATCATTCCTCTAAAAGCTTTTTGATTTTCAAGTTTGCCCAGGAGTACAGGACAATTAAGTAAAATTTATTTGTTCTATTAAGCACATACAGACAATAAATGTTGATTTTTATTTATTTATTTGCTTTTTACTCATTTAGTTCACCATGGCATTAATACAATTCAAGGAAATCAACATTTGGGGACATTTTTGTTTTTATCCTTTGTTGCACTTTGGATTTATTTATTTATTTATTGTTGTATTTTAAGTGGGTAAAAAAATGGATGGATGGATTCTCATTTTTTTTCATCACTTCTTTAAGCTTATGCCACATATAAAATCACTCATAGTAGTAATAATACTACTACGGTATATATTATATTTTTGATGTAAGCAGGTTAAATGGTGGAAGAATTTCTCAGCACAAAGAAAACTTTAAAAGCTAACTATTCACTGTCTCAATGAAAGCAAAATACATATAACTATTTTGTTCTGCGGTGATCAAATACTATAAAAATACTTTTGCACAGCTACTAGATGATGAGGAAATATGTATCTTTAAGCATACAGTATTGTACAAAATGTTTAAACCACCTTTAACCTTTGCTTCAAAGTGGTGACGTGTAAAGTGGTCATGATCAGGAAAGTTTATCTGAAGGTGTGAATAGTTGAAAAGTTGTTTATAAATTATTTGACTTGACTTTAGCCGATTTTTTTTTATCTTTACCCCTATGTGTGAGGTTAAACTAACGAGACAGCAGATGTACATAAAAACAGAGGCAAATGCAAGTGAAAATAAGTGTCAGACATAAAATCTACCTGAACATTAACTGAAGTTATTATTTATTTTTTAAAACATAAGAAAAGGCAAAATATGGCTGACTTATTTCAGTTGTTCATCTTGGATCACGTGGATTGTAAAAATAAATTAATCACAATGTGTTATGTTTGGTCATTTTATATGGGGTTTGACTAAAAACAAGCAATTCTCGTCTTTGTGCCAGGCTGGTAGTTACAAAGTGTGTCTATCTGGAGTTGATGACGATGATGACAGCGCGCGCCTCCTTCCGGCCTCAGGAGGGTGCGTAAAAACAAGCTCCTCCCCCTTTTTCTCCTCTGATTAACCGCAGGTTGTTTTCCATCCTTAACACAAGACAAGAGCTCGAACAGGTAGGCGCAGCATCTTCCAGCCACATGACTACAATAAATGTATTTTGTGACATAAACTCGTGTTTAAAAATGTTTAAGCTAACAGAGCTGCTGGGCTCGATGCTCTGCGGGATGCGAGCGGGGCTGGACATCTTTATGCTAACACTTTTACATTGAATCGTTAAAATATAAAAACGAGTTGCATGTTGAGGCGTTAAATCGGTGTGTTTGTGTCGCTGGAGGTGCAGTGTGTCTTCAGACGTCCCTTCGCGGTTTGTCATGCATCTGTTCGCGCTGTACCGCTAATCGGTGTCGTGCCAAAAAGTGATGGCCTGGCAAAAATGGATCAACCGCCGCGGGAGCGCGCGCTGCATGTTCGAGTGTTTCATTCGGTGACTCGCTGTTTCAGTTCTTGGAATTAACCAATAACAATATTATTATTTTTTAATGTATTTTTAATATTGTTTAGCTCCAAGAACTGAAGCAGCGAGTCACCGAGAGGGACGCTCGAACAGGCTGCGCGCGTTCCCGCGGCTCTGATCACTGTTTGCGACACCATCACTTTTTGGCACAACACCGGTCATTGAGCCTAATATGAAAAAGTGTTTTAATTCATCGTGTGTTTGCGTTTTCCCCAGATTTTGTAAGAAAGAATGAGATAATTGATGCTCTGACTCTGACCCACAAAGACTACTGTGTGCCTAGGAAGGTCCAAATATAGAAACATGTAGGAGTAATAGAGCATCTTGATGTGAAACTATTTTATTCATCTTTGTTCCTCTACGCTGAGTACATTTGTTTTGAGGGCTTGCAGGATGACACTTTTTCACTTATTCTACATAATATAGATTGGTAATTAATTATGAAATCAAATAGTATAGCAGTCAGAATCAGTGGAGTAAAAAATACTGTATTAATCTTATGAAAAGGATCAATGACTCAGTTTGGCGTGCCTGTTTGGGAGTCCAACACATGTATATGAAACACTGTTTACTTCAGTTCTCCTCTCCTCTCCTCAGGATGGAGGCCCTGTTAAACGAGTGGCTGTGGCAGGAACAGTACTGGCTTCCTCCTGGTATTGGCTGGCAGGACACAGAGATGACGGAAGATGAGGGACACTTTCCTCTACCTAGGGATCTCATCTACGCCTTGCCACTGGCTTTTGCCTTTATAGTCCTCAGATATGTATTTGAAAGGTGCGAGTATCACAGTTACAAACCAATCCAAAATCATTTTTTGACACTGTTCGTTTTAGTCAACTGTAATCTCAACAGTTTTTCTTTTCTTGGGGGGGCTGTACGTTTGTTTTGCTGCAGTCATGATGGCTACCAGTATCATTCGGGGATGAAAGCTCCTCTCCTTAATAGATATTTTGTGCATGAAGGTCTAACATGCAGTGAAAAAGAAGACGTTATGAGCTGACATTTCTTAGCTCTGTACTGTCTTTCAGTTTTCTAATTTATTATGTTGCGTATGAGCTTGGCACTAATAAGTAATTATTAATTTGGTCCTTTTGTAGCTGTTTAAGACCAAAGCAAGACAAACACATTTTGCTGAAAGTGTATTTGTGCAGGTTTAGTACAGCTGAAAACTGCTGGTGATAAATCTACTGATGTAAAATCCCACCAGTGTTTGTTATAACAGACTCCTGATGCATCTGGAGGTTTCTTGTAAAAGCTTTAACCATGTTTCCAGTGGCACAAATAGTGCATTAGTGTTCAGTATATGACTTTAAAACACCAGAAACACTGAGACTGAAAAACCGTGTTGAATATTTTATTAATGGGAGCTGGCTTTTCCTCTTTACAAGCACTTCAGCATTTTTATTACAAGAGCTAATGGAATATTATTGTCTTGTTAAATTGTCTTTTAAATTCAGTTTTACATATTTTATCAGGTACTTCTTTATTATCAGCTAACGACATCTAAACGGTTTTGAATGTTCATATGGAGGTTGTGTGTCACCATCATGGATCTCATTTGTTGTTTTTTTCTTCTGAGAACCAGTTTGATTGTTGTGCGATCAAATGCAGATACGTGATACGTGAACTTACAGGCGTGTTTTTACACGCCTTCCCTCACCTGTTTCCATATTATTGTTGCTCACTGAGAGCTTTGTGTCATTGTCTTAGCCCTCCTGAGGTAATTTATTTGCAGAGTAGTAACATTATCAGTGTTAGAGGCCGGCATGGATGAGAGGGCGATAACAAAAGCTGAATACCAGCATGCATCTGTGCGTGGTTCGGGTTTGACGGGCATCTGTGTATTCTGGGTTGTTGCGACACACAAGTCAGTCAGCTGGAAGGTAGATGTATGTATCCTTTATTTAACCAGGAAAATAACTCGTTGAGATTAAAAACCTCTTTTCCAAACATGACCTGGCCAAGACAGCAGCATAAAACATACAACAAATCCTAAATACAAATACATACCCAAAATAAATCACATAATTACACATTAGGGCAATTACAGGAACCAATTAGTGATCTGATCACTCATTCCATTAGAATTGATTTAAATTGCCCCAAGGTAACAAGAGATGAGGCGTACCTTCATTCAGTCACCTTAGGCTGCAGCTGCTTTCTTTATTATTGTTCCTGCATGTAAATGTGCGTGTGTGTGTTCATGTGTGTGGTAAAGTGTAACCAGACTCTGTGTGGGTCTCAGTGTAAAGCTGCACTGACCTTCTCACCGTCTCTGATCATTTGCTCTTTTCTCAGTTCCATTATGTGATTATCTCACATGATGTGACTATACTGTATGTACGTGCACACGTTTATCAGAACATCTTGCCCATGCTGACCCTCTTACTGTTTTTCTTCTTTGCTGTAGTGCAGTCACTCTTCTTAATGACACACACACAGATCAAGTGTCTTAATGTCATATCAGCTAATGACAACAGCTATCTGTCCAAATGTCACAAAACACCCAAAGGTGCATCTCAACGGGCTGTCAGGAGATGCATCATGATCTCTTTTATTTCCATGCCCTGCCTGCGCTGTATTGAATTAGCAGCACGCTGGACAGCTGCTAATGGTTAATCTCACATGAATCCTACCTGAATTATATCGTAACATATTTATTGCACGTTGGACGTTACGGTTTTGAAAATGCTCATTTAATTTATATTCTATTTTCTGTCCTTTAAGGTGGGTTGCAGTTCCTTTAAGCAGATATTTAGGTGTGAAGGATCGGATACGGATTCGAGTCCCATCTGTCCCAAAATTGGAGGCCTTCTACAAACAAAGCAGTCGACAACCATCACAAGTTTGTATTCTTCCTCTTTTCCATTCAGTGTTTTATCTTTCCAAAGTACAAGACTTGCACTGCACGAAAACGTGAACATCTGGAACAAAACGGAGGATATTATGGCAGCATGACGGCTCGGTGGTTAGCACTGTTGCCTCACAGCAAGAAGGTCCTGGGTTCAATCCCCGGTTGGACCTGAGGTCTTTCTGTGTGGAGTTTGCATGTTCTTCTTGTGCTTGCATGGGTTTTCTTTGGTTTCCTCCCACAGACCAAAAACATGCATGTTAGGCTGCCTTCAGGCCCAGGCCTCCTTTGCAAAAGAGCTCTGTGATCTCAGTGAGATTTGCCTGGTTAAATGAAGGTTAATAAATAAATTATACTGTATCTGGGATTAAAAATCTCTGATTACATCTCTGATCTGAGTTTAGTATCTGTGTATCTGCAACATCCCCTTCTTCTCCTCCTATAAAAGTTTTCAGTCCCACATATAACATCACATACATCTTCCTCCATATCATCACATGTTCTCATCAGCTAACAGAAGTTTTATCCATCTGGACACTAATATTTAATAAATTACAGAGAAAGCTTCCTAATAGATTTACATGAGCAGCAGTACACATGATTGTAAATTATTAAAAATGTTACAAAGTATTTCTACAATCGGAAAAAAATTAATAAATGCAAATTAATTGAAAAGCGTTTATAGAATACTGATTACAAGTTTTTATATTAAATGAGAGGTTACATAAATGTGTTCAGTTTTTCTAAGGCTCGGGTTTATTTGAGATTTAACATGTTTTTTATAGATATGTTATTGCACTCAAATGGGACTGAATATTCTCAGTCCAAACATATTTTAGTGACAAATGAAGGAAATAAAACAGTCTGATAAAACAAGTTTGATTCTGTTAGGACCCAACACAGACGTTGTTGATGACGCCAGCGTTAGACTTCCCACAGAGAAGCTGTCACTTGTTGAACCTGTTTCTGAAACTCTGGAGGGAAGAAAAGACTTATCATCCTGTTTTGCAAGCATGTGAGAGTTTGCATAGATTTGCAAACGCAGCTGCAGAAAATGGATGTACAATTTGTTCTTTGTTTATGTTGCAAAAAAAAGATTAATACACAGGCAGTAGAGATTTTCACAATTCTTCAAAACCTGTTCGATTAGGTTGGAAAAAAAACAAAATGTCAATTTGTTTTGAGATTTTTTTTTTTAATCTTACGTTTGTCTTCTGATCTGTGACCTGCTTACAGATTAGTCGTCATGCAGTAGTTGTTCAGTTTGAGTTTCTGAACTAAATATAAAGATGTTCATCAGTTTTCAAAAAAATGTCCTAAGATTTTAACAGTTAAATATTTTCTGATTAATTTTAATTTTTTTGAATCCATCCAGAGGACCTGACTTAACTTTGTTAGATTTTTCTACCTGGATTATTGAGCATGAATCAGGATACTTTCTGTTTATTTAGTCTTTTCATCGTTTCATTTGAGGAGTCTACCCCTGCGGTTATTTACTCCCTACATTAGGAGAAGCAGATGAATAATTGATTGGGTGTAAAATGTCCCTTTGTGCATGGTAAATTTTTTATCTCTATCAGCCAGCAGGTGCAGACATGCAGTAGGATCCAGGTTAAACTGGACTTTCTCCACCTGTTTACTAGTTTCATTTGGCACTGCAGCAGACAGCACAGATATACATCTGTCAGGAGGACAAGACTTGACAAATCTAAAGAAACTTTTATTGCTCAGTGAGCATTTATTGTCGGCATGTCCATTCACATATTCACTCACTTTGGCCTGACTGTGTGCCGTGACTTCTTTTTCTCTTCTGTGGAACAAGCAGCTGGTTTCTTTTGAGCTCTGTCATGAAACCCAACCCATAACAAAACCAACAAAGATGAAAATGGAAAATGGAGTTACAGTTTTAGAACGGCAGTCACAAGGAAGCACTCGGTATGATGGGACATTTTGCCCTTTAATAAGGCATAAACAATGTAGCTAAATCAAAGAGATGTACGTGTTACTCTTTATGCTTTAACTAAGAATGTTGTACTTTTACCCTTGTAATCAAGTTCCTGCCAACAAGAACCTCTCATCTGTAGTGGAAGCCTGTGTAAAGTATCAGGGTGCAGACACCATCACACTGAGGGTTCTCTGTTACTGACTCGTCTGCAGCACATAAAGTTTAAACTGAACATGTGTATGTCTGTAGGAGCGCTCCATGGCGGCAGTTCAGCTACAAACCTGGTTCAGTTTAGCTCTAACGGCAGAAACACTACTATCAGTCAAATCAAAGAGCAGCAGATTTGATTGCAGACTTTGTGTTTATTTGCTTTTGTTTGTTCAGACTCAAGTGGTGAGCTTGGTGAAGCAGTGCGGTCTCTCCCAAAGGAAGATCCAGACCTGGTTCCGGCACAGAAGGAACCAGGACCGACCCAGCAACACAAAAAAGTTCAGCGAGGCATCGTGAGTTTTTCCTTCTTTTTTTTTTTCTGAAAATGCAAAACAAAAACAAATGTATACATGCACACTTACATTAACTGGCTAACTAAAGATCTGTACTTTACTGAGTTGTCCAAATTAGACTTCGGTTTATTGGCCAGTTTGTTATTTTTAATACAATAGTCCCTCGTTTATCGCCAGGGATCCGTACCCTGAAGCCTCGTGATAAGTGAAAAACTGCGAAATAGGAATAGTAGTACAAGTAGTAAGTAGTAGTTTATTTTAGTATTTATATATTTAGGCTATATACTGTATATATTGAGGTGTTTTAAACTCTTCCCACACTCTTGCAATATTCTAAACTAAGTTTCTAAACTCTAAACACTCTAAATGAGCACAGCATGTCATGATTTCAGCTCTCTGCCTCGTCTGCTCTTTGCCACCCGCGAGCATTCTTGGCCACGCCCACTTCTCTGCTCTGCAGGAGAACAGCTGATCAGCTGCAGCAGGAAGTTTATCCTGCAGTATTGGCTGCACAAATGTGCAGCAGGCGCTAAATTATTTTAAATAATTTATTTTAAATAAAAATTCCATGCCGATCGTGCGGCTCTTCCATCAGTCAGCCAATTGTGTGTCATGTCCGATCTTATTTTGAAAAACCACGATAGAGCGAGTCCACGATAAACGAACCGTGAAGTAGCGAGGGTCTACCGTAATCCTTTCATTAGTTTGTTTTATTTAATGAATTTAACTGATTATTGCACATCTAACAGATAATGGTGTTTGTTTTTGTCTGTGCAGCTGGAGGTTTGTGTTCTACCTAATAGCATTTGCAGCAGGACTCAGCTCACTAATTAATGTAAGTGTGTATTTTTTGTCTTTTTTTAACAATAAACGTGTACTTTCACTGATTTACATTGATATAATGTATAAGAACATTAAAGGGATGGTGATAAGTGTATTGTACTGTGTGAGGTTTGTTTCATATACCAGTGTATGCATAAAGGATGTTTTTCATACGATGTGATATTTGGATAATATTCTAACTGTTTTGTGTATAACCAAACGAATGTGTCCTGAATATTTCAGACTTCATGGTTCTGGGATCACAGAGAGTGCTGGAGGGGTTATCCCAAACAGGTAAGCAGAATGTGGCGTGATTTAAATTACATTCATAACAATATTTTTCTCCACACCTCCACTCTGGGTTTAAACATAAAGCTCTAATTTTGTAGTTTGCCAATGAAAAACTTCTTATTCAGCAACTTAAACACAAAAATGTACTTACTGATGGTGTATGTAAAGTTTAAAAGTAAATTATATGAATAAAGTGACATGGATACAGTAACCAGCACTTATTATGGGTGAAGTTGTATTTAGAAGTATAAGCTTATATGAACCTCACTTTATATCTGAAAAAAAAAAAAAATCAGTTGACTAAAGCTCTAAAAATCTCTTCTAGATTATTATAATGATGCCTAGACTTGATGAATTTTGGGGAAATTGTTTTGTGGATACCACTGTACTAATGGGAGCCTTCAATAAACTTCTGCACATAGCCTAAAGCTAAATATGCTACGGTAAGAAAGACAACAATACTTATGTACTTTTTAAGTGTAAGACTATGTTGAGTTTTTATTATTACTAATGCAACGCTTAAAACTCATGTTTGATTCTATAAAATAAATACAAGAAAATCCTGTTCAAGTTTTGCAACGTTGCAAATTTGAGACACCAATTTATAAATGAACCTGTCTGCAATTCAAACAAAAATAAATAAATAAATAAGCTTTCTGCTCTAATGAAACACAGAAGTTGTTTCAAAGAAATCAAAACAGAAAATAAACGTACTACAAATCAGTTGTTTTAGACTGACAAATGTGCAATAACATGCCTTAAAATGTATTGGAAAGAAATAAACCTTGGGTCTTTTTTAATTTACATGCTGTTCTATTTAATGAATGAATTAATGGGAACAAACTATTCATGTTGCAGAAGAAATATTTAAAAAGTTTCATTTGTGTGCATGAATATTTGGGATTAACAACATTTCTATCAAAATTAATTAAATCTTTTATGAGACATAAGAAGAACTTATGTTAATAAATCTAGTCTTTGTAGCTCAAACACTAATATTTGTGGTGTGTAAATGAAACGCATTGAACAAAATCAAATCTTTAGTGGGTGAAGGAGGAGTTGCAGCACAGCCTCTTCCTCCTGCGAGCTTTTATCTAAATTCTTTCACAGGAATGCAGCTTTAGTACGTCTGGTGTTCGTCTTGCACCCTGAGTTTGAACATTGATATCTGTTCTGTTTCAATGACGGTTCAGCATGCCTGAATGTCGCCATTCCTTTCAGGAAACACCTTGTTTTATGGGGTTAGGCCACAGCTGTCTGCATCTGCAGAGTGACTGATTGCAGTTTCTGCAGGCCTCACAGCTCCTGGCTGCGTTTCCTTTCTGAAATGTTTCTGGCGATAAAGAAATGAAATAAAAGTCTCCGTCCACTTCCTACCATTGTGAGCTGCTTGCGTTGAATGTTCAATGATCTGCAAGTCTTTTTGTTATTGTTGGTGGAGATAGTACACCACAACTTAGGTATTTTTGCAGCGTGAGACATTATTAGTTTAGGACTTCTGTTTTATTTTTTGTGCCAAATATGAGGAATGAAATGACCGAAACAGTCATTTTCAGATGGAAGTTGATGTCTAGAAATTGTCGAAGGGCTCCCATTTGATGTTTCATGACCTCAACTTTGGAAACCATCTTGTTACACCTCTAACACCTTTCTGCAGAACTTTCTCTTGCAAGAAGATTAACGTCAATATTAACTTTATTACTGAACATAAGCCTGTCACAATAACAAATTTTGCGGGGCGATTAATTGTCTCAGAAATTATTGCGATAAACGATAATATTGTTTGAAATTTGACAGTAATTATTAATTATTGTCAATAATACAATAATTATTAATTATTGTCAAATTTAAGAAGAAATGTTGGTTAATTTTTGTGTGTAGTGCCTTTTTTGACCACCCAAAGGATGGATAGTGAGGGAGCGAGCAGTGTGTCTCTAAGAAAAATGGGAGGGAGGCCCCTTGACATGACATGGGCTGACTCTTTCTTTTTTTGGTTCTCAAAATGGTGGACGCTCAGTGTGGTTTGAGCTCTTTAGCAAAGCATTTGTCACACAAAGCTTTTAATAAAATTCAGTAAACAAGTTCTCAGCTTCTTTTTGCAGAGAAAAAGAACTTTTTACACGAAGGCACGGGTTTCAACCGTGAATTTTGGAGCTTGGAAAAGATGGAGATTTTTTTCCTGGGGTTGGCCTGTTAGCTTAGCTCGTAGCTTAGCTTCTCAGCTTAGCTACTAACAATCCAAAAAGGTGTTTTTTGGACAGTTAAAATGGATTTTAAAGATAAAAGAGAAAGGGAGGGGTCAGTGAAGAACAGAGGAGTTGAGCCTTTTGTCATCCAGTGTCTTCAGTAGAAAGAGAGAGACACGAAGAAATGATAAAGCCGATAAATGAAAATGAGGTCGATAATTTTCATTTATCACGCGATTAATTGATTTATTGTTTATCATGACAGACCTAACTGAACAGTCGTAGTTAAACATCTTTTTTGCCTCGATTGTTTTTAGCTGCTTCACAAATGGTTTGTTCATCATTGTTGACTTCTGTTGGTGCAGTGTGACCTCTTCTGACGGCACGGATAAAAACCTCCAGATTGTAAATGTTTTCTCATTGTCACTCACTTCCTGTCATTCTGCAGCCCGTGACAGATGCTCATTACTGGTACTACATGCTGGAGATGGGTTTCTATCTGTCCCTGCTTCTGAGTGTTTCTGTGGATGTCAAACGAAAGGTGAGTGTAAGCTGACTAGTCTTCACCCCCACCACTATAGTATATAAAAACAAAAACGTGTACAAAGTACATCGTATCAATAATCCAGGTAAAAAAATCCAACAAAGTTCAGTCAGGTCATCTGGATGGTTTATCTTTGTGTTGAGACGTTTCATTCTTCATCCAAAGGACTTCATCAATCCAAGGAGTCACAAACAGCACACTCACATAGTGGGCCAACCAGTTTTGCTGGTGATTAGATGGTTTCTGGAGCCCACCCTCTCCCCCGTCAACTCCTCTGAGGCAGCCATAGCCAAAGTGGTTCAAACATCAAAGTTCATGCTCAATAATCCAGGTAAATATCCAATGTTGGTGTGTTGAACCACTTTGGCAATAGCTGCCTGAGAGGAGTCGGCAGGGGAGAGGGCGGGCCCCAGAAACCATTTCATCACCAGCAAACTGGTTGGTCCACTGTGAATGTGTTTCTTGTGGGACACAGTTTGTTTGTGGCTCCTTGGACTGATGAAGTCCTTTGGATGAAGAATGAAATGTCTCAACAAAATGAAACTGTTTAGATGACCTGACTGAACTTTGTTGGATATACATCATATACTTTTTATTTTTTTCATTTTTATTACATTTTTCAGTTTGTGTGCTGAATTATCTTGTGTGGCAACAAACCTTTGCACATTTTAGTGTTTGGTCTTATTTCAAATCTGATTGTTGCAGGATGTTGTTTTTTTTTATTTGTAGTAAAATTTAGACTAAACTATATTAAATTGTTTACTTTGTTTCACCAAGAGAAACTCATTGAGATTAAAAATCTTATTTACAAGAATGTCCCAGCCACAACTGGCAACAAAACACAAAGTTGTATAAAACATACTTTAACAATAACAACAGGTAGCATTTAAAAACAATTACCTGTTAAATCTTTCTTAAACTAAGGTGCATCTGTGCATGACCACAAATATCTGACCGTATCAGACACAACCTGATGTCTATTTCTCAAAATCTTTTAAAATACTTTTATACATTTAACAAATGGCAGCACTGTGGCGCAACTGGTAGAGCTGCTGCCTCTCAGCGAGCAGGTCCTTGGTTCAAACCCCGGTCCAGGGGCCTTTCTGGGTGGAGTTTGCATGTTCTCTCCGTGCATGCATGGGTTTTCTCCGGGTACTCCGGTTTCCTCCCACAGACCAAAAACATGCATGTTAGGCTGATTGGTAACTCTAAATTGTCCCTAGGTGTGAGTGAGAGAGTGAATGGTTGTTTGTCTCGTTTGTCTCTATGTGGCCCTGTGATGGACTTGCGACCCGTCCAGGGTGTACCCCGCCCCTCGCACAGTGATTGCTGGACATGGGCACCAGCGACCCCCGTGACCCAAAATGGAATAAGTGGGTAAAAGATAATGGATGGATGGATGGACATTTAACAAATCAAGTTCCTTCATTTTAGGACTAGACTGAAGATAATTTCAGGTCGACGGAGCAGCAAACTGAATGGATTTTTGCCCCGTTCTGTCAGTACTTTAGGTATAAAACATAAATAGTAGTCCAGGGAGTGATGTGAATATCTTTCATTAAAAAAATAAATAATGAACTTATAATTGAATGTATAATTTAAAGATGTTAAAAGTCCTTCTGTTTCCCTCAATAAAATTTGAAATTCCCACTTGATTACAGTTGGCAGTAAAATTAAGTTTTACAGGTTATTTAGGCCTAAAGGTTGTACCTAAATATATTTTGACTTATTTTCTTTTTGTGTTTGTTATTAAAAGTCAATAAGAAGTTCTGGCTGCTGCATCAAGTTTTAGGTTTGCACAAAAACATCCAAATTGGCTTCTTGTTCATTTTTTGCCAGAAATGTTATTTTAGTTTCCTTTTCCAGCTCTAAAGATGTTATTTATTTGTGTGTGTGTGTGTCTTCTGTGCACAATGTTCTAGGATTTCAAGGAGCAGGTGGTTCATCATATCGCCACCTTATTTCTCATCGCTTTCTCCTACTGCGCCAACTATGTGAGGGTTGGCTTGTTGGTGATGCTGGTGCACGATTCTTCTGACTTCCTCCTCGAGGTGAAACTCAATACCAGAGTAAAAGTGAAACCTGTGTCATTTGATTGTATTGTTTTCGTTTGTGCATGTCCCCTACGGTGTAGCTGTGAATAGTTATAGATGGTATAAATTTTCTACGACTAGGACTTTTGTTTGTAAGCTGAATAACAAAGGAGGAGGAAATAACGAGATATTAAATTAGGTTTAAAGTGAACTGCATTTGGTCTCCATAAGTTACAAAACATCCTACTAAGCTCAAATTACCGTAATTTCCAGACTATAAGCTGCTGCGTTTTCCACACACTTTGAACACTGCGGCTTATAAAATGCCGCAGCTAATTTATGGATTTTTTTTAAGCTAACGAGCTTCATGCCGCCAAAACATTTAGCCTTGTCACACCCACTCAGCGTGACAGAGAAGGAGCGCTACCTCTGTAGCTTTTTAGCTAGCGCGTCTGTATTGCACGCCGCTAGCTTAGCGCTACCTCAGTGCATGCAGTTGTCGATGGGTGTGGGAGGAAGTGGGAGGACATTTCAGTAGACAGAGCACTTGGTTCTGTTGACAGGGTAGGGGAAACACTGGATTCGGTGAAAGCAGCCATCAAGAGGACAAACTCAATTCCAGCTGTGATCCCTGGCGGCACAACAAAGTATTTACAGCCGCTCAGCATCAATGTGAATAGTGCATTTAAAGTGGCAATCCAAGCTCAGTGGGAGGCTTGGATGACCAGCGGCGACAAATCGTTTACCAAAACTGACCACATGCGAAGAGCAACATTTTCTCAAGTCTGCCGGTGGATCCTGACAGAGGAGCAGTTTAAAAAAAAAAAAAACACTATCACCATCGGGTTCTGAGAGGCTGGACCACTGCGTGATGAAGTGGACAGCACAAGCTCAAGTGTGAATTTGCCTCGAGACGAAAGTGACATTGAGAGTGACAACGAAAAAGAGACTGAGGACGTGTGTGATGAAGTTATTCTGAGGCTGTTCATTTATGACACTGAAGAAGACAGGAGGAAGATGAAGATAGTGTTCAATGACTTCTCCTGCTAAGCTACTGTATTTTTTTAAAAAAATTAACAAGCCATGTTATATGCACCGTTCAGAAAAAAAAAACTTTTGTGTATGTTATCAGTACATATTTAATTAAAAGTAAAAAAAATAATAATTCTGTGTAAATATCTCATGTCACAATGTGGACACATGCGGCTTATAGATAAGTTCTGCCTATATATGTACGATTTTTTTTTCTTTTGAAAGTTAGTGGGTGCGGCTTATATTCAGATGCGCTCAACAGTTACAGTTACAGTTATATGCTGGTGAAGATTCTCAGTCATCCAGGACATGATGAATTCAAAAAGCGTTCAATACAAAAACAACTGGACTTTATTTGTAACAGAAGACGTTTCGCTCCTCATCCGAGGAGCTTTCTCAATTCAAAGAGCAGAGAGTGAGAGATACAGGTTATAAGGCTGAGTGA